ATACACACACACACACACACACACACACACACACATATATAATCATCAATGTACAAAAATCCATTGTACAAACCATTCAAACCATTCTGAGATAAGACAGTAGTTTCTACTGGACTAACATTCTCACAGATAACACATACAAAATACTTAAAAACCTACTATTTATGGGTACAGAGGGCAACCAAAAGCAGCCAGAAACTGGTGAGAAGTCAAACTTTGAAATAAGGAAATTGCCCTCGGTCTAAATTGCCCTCGGTCTATACTCTATGGTCTACATAACATGAGACATCTAAATGTCAAACAGAAAGCTTGACTGGCTTACTCACTTACTGGCTTAAAGAATCAGGAAATGGGCTTCCATAGCAGCTGAATAGTAAAATGAAATTTCTGTAAAAGAGTGAGACATGAGGAGAGCCTCCAAATCTACACATAATTCCACCTAAATCATTGTCCAACCCCTGAACTTTATACAGGAGAGGTTCTCAGGAGACCAATGGGAACCAACAGCAGCATGGCTGAAAGAACTGAACCAGAGCAAGGATTTCAACTATTGCCTACTGCAGAAGAAATAGTTCAGAGTTTCAGTGCAGCCAAGTTAATGACTTGCTAGAACAAAAATAAACATTCTTCAAAGAAAGATAAGGAATATAGTGTCTATAATTTATCATTGACAATGTCTAGGTACAATAAAAATTACCAGACAGGGGCAGACTTCAGTCAGTTAAGTGTCTAGCTCATAAGTTCCAGCGCATCAGGCTCTGTGCTGATCCCATGGAGACTGCTTGGGATTCTTTATCCCTCCCTCTCTCTCTGCCCCTCCCCACTCATGTGCTCAAACTAAATAAACTTAATAGAAAAATTGTTTTAATTACTAGACATTTGGGGGTGGGGGAATAAACAGAAAAATGTGACCTAGAGTCAAGGAAAAAAATGTTGTCTATAAAAACCAAACTCTAGATCCCAGATGTTAGCATTAACAGAAAAGAATTTAAAGAAACTATTATAGAGGCACCTAAGTGGCTCAGTCAACTGAGCATCTGACTCTTGATTTTGACTCAGGTCATGGTCTCGGGGTCATGGGATCAAGCCTTGCATAGAGATCTGTCCTGAGCATGGAGCCTGCTTAATTCTTTCTCTCCCTCTGCCCCTTTCCCCTGTTTGTACTGTCTCTCTCTCAAATAAAAAAAAAAAATTAAAAAGAAACTATTATAAATATGTTCAAAGACTTTAAGAAGCTAATATCATAATGAACAAACAGATAGGGATCTCAGCAGAAAAATGGAAATTACAGAAAAGGACTAACTGAAAATTTACATCATAATTATGGTATCTAAAATGAGAAGGCACTGTATATTAACAGCATATTGGAGATAATAGAAGATAAGTTCCGTGATTTTATTGATAAATCATTAGAAAGTATCAAATCTGAAGAAAGAAAGGACAAAATGTTTTTGAGAAAGGAACAAAATCTCAATGACCAGCAGGAAAATATTAAGGAACCTAACATTCATGCAATGCAATGAGAGTCCGAGAAGGAGAGGAGAGAAAAACTAGAGAAGAATAAATATTTAAAGAAATATGGGGAAAACTTTCCAAATTTATGTGAAAAACATAATCTATACATCTAAGGAGGTCAGCAAATCCTGTAGAGGATAAATCTTATGAAAACCACATGTAGGTGAATTATAGTAAAAATGTTGAAAAGTAATGATAAATTGATAATCTTGAAAGCAAAGGGAAATGATGTATTGCATACAGAGAACAAACAGTAGGATTTATGGCTGAGTTTCTCATTAAAAAAAAAAAAAAAAAAAAAAAAAAAAAAAGAAAGGAAAAAAAAAAAACAATGAAAGCCAGAAGACCACGTAAAGACATCTTTAAATGGTCAAAAAGAAAAAAAAACTATCATCCCAGAATTCTATATCAAATGAAAATACTTTTACAAAGTGATGCTGAAATTTTTAGGACAAAGAAAACTGAAAGAATTAACTGGCCATGAACCTGAACTATAAGAAATGCAAAACAAGTTTCTTCAGGTTGGAGGGAAATGATGCCAGATGGAAACTAGAACTTACTGGGAAGAATAAAAGCACCAAAAATGGCTAATAGTGGGTGAACATAACAGAATATTTTTTTGTTTCTTTTTTCTAACATCCTTTTAAAAGTACATAACTGTTTTTAAAAAATTATGACACTGTATTGTGGGATTCTTAACATACGTAGATGTAATATATAAAGCATCAACAACACAAAGAACTCCGGAGAGAATTAACAGACTATACTCCTGTGAGACTCAAATTTTAGGTGAAGAGATAAAATATTAATTCTAAAAATACTCTGTTAAGTTGAGGATGCATATTTTAATCCCTACAGAAATCTTTAAGAATACAAAATGAAGAAAGGCGAGAAAGGGAGGCAAGGAAAAAGGAAGGGAGAAGGAGGAGGAAAGAAGGGAGAGAGGAAGGCCAACGCAAAGGATGGAAAAAAGGAAGGAAGAACTTAGGAACAAAGAAAGGAAGGGAGACTTGACTTTGATTTTCCCAAAAGGAGGCAGGAAAGGAGAAACCATGCAAAAGCAGGATAAATAGAAAACAAATGGCAAATGGTGGAGCTAAATTAAACCATGCCAATAATTACATTAAATCTTAATTGCCTAAACACTCCAATTAAAAGGCAGAGATTGGCATGTCTGGCTGGCTCAGTTGGTTGAGTGCCCAACTCTTGACTTCGGCAAGGGTCATGATCCCAAAGTTGTGGGATCGAGCCCCCTGTGGAGCTCCATGCTGAGCATAGAGCCTGCTTGAGATTCTCTCTCTCTCCTTCTGCCCCCTCACCCTCTCACACTCTCTGTAAAATAAAATTAAAAAAAATTAAAAGGCAGAGATTGACAGGCTGGATTTTAAACGTAAGTTTAAACGATCTCCTGTGCATAAGAGATGTGCTTTAAATCAAAAGACACAGATAGGTTGAAAGTAGGATGACAGAAAAAGATATACCATGTAGACACTAATCATAAGAAAGCTAGAGAGTCTATATTAATAACAGGCAGAATGGATTTCACGAGAAGTATTACCAGAAATAAAAAGTGACATTTCATAATGATTAAAAGATCAATTAATCAGGAAGACATGACAATCATAAATCCCTATGAACTTAATAACAGAATTTCAAGATACATGAAGCAAAAACTGACAACATAAAGGAAGTAATAGATATATCCATGAAAATTGAAGGCTAACACCATTGTCTAAGGAACCACAGAGCAACTAAACAAAATAATAAAAATATAGGAGATCTAAACAACACGATCAACCACATTCCCCTCCTTATCATTTATAGAACACTCCTCCCATGACAGAACATATGCACTTTTCCAAGGCCACATGGAACATTCACAAAGATAAACCAAAAATCAAGGGTCAGTATATTTCAAAAACTTGAAGGGGAATTTGTGCAGCATACCTTCAGGTCTACCACAGGAATATGAATCATCATCACTGGATTATACTGCAATATAATCACTTTGGACTCTATACACATATATATACACATACATACATTCATATTTACAAATATGTGTATATTTTTGTGTGTTAAAGCAAATGGGACAAAATGTAAACAATTGATGAACCTGGTATAAAGATATATGGGAGTTCCTTGTACCATGCTTACGTGTCTGTGATTTTTTTTTTTTTTTTTTTTTTTTTTTTTTTTTTGGAAAGCTCCATGAATTCGCGTGTCAATCCCTGCACAGGGGCCACACTAATCTTCCCTGTATCGTTCCAGTTTTAGTGTATGTGAAGGGAGCACACAACTTGTCTGTAATTTTTAAATTGTAACAAAATTTTTTCAAAGTATCCCTATATACCAGCAAGAGGAAATGAAACATTTTGTTTTATTTTGAGAGAGAGAGAGAGAGTGCGCCAGCACACAAGCACAAGTTGGGGAGAGGGGCAGAGGGAGAGAGAAAGAAGATCTTAAGCAGGCTCCATACTCAGCGCCAAACCCGACCTGGGGCTTGATCCCATGACCCCGGGATCACAACCCACTTGGAAATCAAGAGTCAGACATTCAACCGACTGAGTCACCCAGGAGCCCTGGAAATGAAATATTTTAAAAGATACCATTTTCAGCCAAGTATCTAAGCCTTATGGGGAGAATTAGAAAACCTTGTTGATAGACTTCAAAGAAGATCTAAACAGAGAGTTATACTGCAATCATTAACTCTAAGAGTCAATATTATAAAGGTTTAAATACTCCCCAAATTATTTGTAGATTTGGTAATATTTATTTATTTATTTGATGTTTATTTATTTATTTTGAGAGACAGAGAGAGAGCCGGGGAGGGGCAGAGAGAGAGGGAGAGAGAATCCCAAGCAGGCTCCATGCTACCACACAGAGGCTGATGCGGGGCTTGAACTCACAAACCATGAGATCATGACCTGAGTCAAAATCAAGAGTCAGTTACTTAACCGACTGAGCCACTCAGGTGCCCTGATTTGGTAACATTTAAATCAAACTTTCAACAAAGATTTTGTTAATTAACAAGCTGACTCTAAAATTTATAGAGAAATGCAAAAAGACAAGATTAAGCAAAACACTCTAGAAGAGGAAGAAAAGATAGGAAGACATTTACCACCAGAGAGTAAGACATCACAAATCTATAGTAAGGAAGATTGTATAATACCAACATGGGGACAGACTTCCATGTACGGACATTTAAGAATAGGAGAGAGATGTCATTGCAGATCAATGAGAAATGAAGAAATCTGCCAACAAATGACCAATAAGCATGTGAAAATATGCTCAACATCATTAGCCACCAGGGAAATATAAGTTAAAAAACGAGGTATCACAATAGACACTAGAACAGTTAATATTAAAAAGACATACCCTACCAAGTGTTGGCAAGGACACGAAGTAACCAGAACTCTCACAGGCTGCCGGCACGAACAATTTAAAATGGTAAAACCACTTTAGAAAGCTGTTTGGTGGTTTCTTTAATCCATCCTGAATTGTTCCTGTGGCTCCTGTGGTTTTTGTGTATAAAGCTGGTTGATGGTTTGACTTACAAAGTCAAAATTGTACCTACTGTATGACCCAGCAATGCCACTCCTACATAATTTATCATATGCCTTGGAAGCTTTGTTAATGATTGCCAAAAACGGGAAACATTCCAAATGCCCATCAATGGAAGAATGGAGAGACTGAGATCTGTTCATACAACGGAATACTACTCGGCAGTAAAAAGGAACAGACCGCTGATAGATCCAACAACACAGATGAAACGCAAAAGCGTTCTGCTAAGGAAAAGAAACCAGGCACAAGAGAGTATTTTCTAGATGGTTCCATTGATCAAATATCGGGAAGAGATCAGTGATGGGAGAGGGAACTGACTGCAAAGGGGCAGCAGAGAACTTTTGCGGGGAACATGCTCTATGTCTTGAGGTGGTGGTGACCACATGACAGTATACAGTTGTCAAAAGTCATCCAACTGTAGACTCCAAAAGGGTGAATTCTCTTGCATGTAACTTATACCTCAAGAAATCTGATTTTTGACATTTTAACTAAAAAGAAAAACACACGACGAGATGGCCTTAAATACCAACCAGGTTGGCAAAATATTAACTCGGCTGATACCCTGGCGAGGATGGCAGGAAGAGTTGCAGCCTGGGTTCTCAGGAAGCAGGCTCTGAGACGGAGCCTGGTATCGGAGAAGTTCATGAGGGGTCAGCCTCTAATAAAGGGACAGGGGAAGAAGCAGAAAAAGAAAAGCTGGTAAGCCACAGGCCTGACAGAGCCCCGATGGGGCGCTCTGGAGTCAGCGGTGCTCAGCAGAGTGGTCCCACCCACAGTCATCCTCCCACCCACGGCTGTCCCAAGCTGTCCTGGGAAGGGCGTGTCTCAGCGCAAAGGCGGGTCTGCTGTGGAGCTGGGCAGCACGTCTCCCTGGAAGGAGAGTCCATGCAGCCCATCTTCAGGTGTACCACAGGAACAAGCGCATTCTATTGATGGTGTTGTGACTTAAACAACCATTCTGGACACCGGTTTGGTAAAGCTGAAGCTATGCATACCCTATGATCTAGCATTCTATCCTTGGTATATACCTTTGTGAGATGCATTACCGTGCGTACAGAGATAAGGGCTCATCACAGCACTCTTTGCCATGGGCCCAAACTGGAAACAACTCAAAAAGTCATTTTGTAAATTACAGTATATTCATGTAGTGAAGTCATCAATAAATTATTTTATATTAACATATATGTATAGGGGCACCTGGGTGGCTCAGTCGGTTCAGCGTCCGTCTTGGGCTCAGGTCATGATCTCGCGGTCTGTGAGTTCGAGCCCCGCGTCGGGCTCTGTGCTGACAGCTCAGATCCTGGAGCCTGCTTCGGATTCTGGGTCTCCCTTTCTCTGCCCCTCCCATGCTCATGCTCTGTCTCTGTCTCTCTCTCTCTCTCTCTCTCTCAAAAATAAGGAAACATTTTAAAAAATTAAAAATATATATATATGTATAAAATGTTGTCTATCAACAACAATGAACAAGCTATAACAATAAGGTTCACCTGGATGAATCTCACTAACATAATGCTGAGCAAAAAAGAAGTCATGAAAGAATACATACAGTATGCTTTCCTCCATACAAAGATTCCAATTTGGCAAAACTAAACCCTACGGCTTGGAAATGAATATATAAATTGTAGATCTATGGAATAAAGTAGTGAAATGAGTTTCGCAGAAGTCAGGCTAGTGGTTATGCCAGAGGCAGGGAAGGGGGGTGCTCTGATTAGAATAGCACACTAGGGAAAGCCTCTAAAGTTTCATCATCCACGGGTGTTCACTTCATAATTATTCATCATGCTATACATACATGTTGGAAATGCTTTCCTTCATGCATGTTATATTTCACGACAAAAACAAGGAGAAATGGCACACATAGTGGTTAAATGGTTAATGGAAATAAGGTTATAGGAAATAAGAAAAAAAGAGAGGGTTCAGGGGTCATATAATGGTTATCGATCATCTAAAGAGCTGCTCCAGAGGGCCCAGCTAGGAACTTTGAGAGAAAGAATTTTCTAATGATTCAAACGCATGGAATGGGTTGATCTCAACCCGTCTTCCAGCTCTGAGATCTGAGGGACAAAGAACTAGGCTTTCATAGGGAAGTAGGGGGAGCCAGGAAAAAAACGAACAAAGAAGGAAAGAGCGCCTGTTTATTTTTAAAACAACTGTCAGTTGATGGATCCCTGCCCCGTGAGCTAATGTACCTGCCATTTTTCCTTCGAAGGCCCTGCTGCTATTACATAGGCAGAGCGAGGGTTTTAGCTGAACCTGTGCCCCTGGTGGCCCTCCAGACACTCTGTCCTCAGGGAGGCCCAGGGTCTCCTTAGAAGGAGAACAGCACTGGGGCTGCCCGAGGTGGCTCCAGCTACCCTGAGTCCATCTGGACGCACAAGGCCTTGTCTTCCAGACACATCCCCAGGCTCATCACCACCCAGAAGCATGAGAAGCAGAGAGACGCAAGGCAAGGAATACCGGTACCGTTGGTATTGATGATGATGATGAGCTCTGACCATGCGTTCAGCATACATTTTCTCGTTTAAATAGTCAAGCTCTGTTTATGCCTTCCACCCACACTGCCGTATTCACTGTGACTCGTAGATTACTCCCCCACTGTGTGCCACAGCAATCAGGAATGTCCAGCGGAAGGTGAGCACGCTTCGGTTAGACACCCTTCAGGGTGCAGGTGCGGGGAGGGGCATCTGGTCCTCATTCTGGGAGGAGTAGCGCCCTGTCTCTCGCTGGTGAGTCTCCTCATCTCTTTCGGTGCTCCCTAACCTTCCCCACTGCCCACCGTATAATGACTGACATTAACACAGCACGTCCTGTAGGGGAGATACAGAACTAGAAGCTTCTCGTGTGTATTTCACGTATCCATGTTTCACTGGTGAGCAAACCAAAGCTCAGGGTCCTTGAATAACCCCCGCAAGGTCACACAGCTTGTACAGGGCAGGGGAGAATTCAAAAGACCTCCTGGCCCCCAGTGCTTTACTATATACTGACTTCCCCTCCAACCTGCCACTTCTGCCCCACGCCCACGGGGGCAGACCACCTACCATTTTCTCAAGCAAAGGCCCAGCTGACTTTCCAGGTCACGTTCTTTCTTGTCTTGCCTGTTAATGGGCATCACCCTACCTGACTCCTTTAACAAAGCCAAGGCGTTTTCTCCACCCTGCCGCATAACAAATATTTCTGCCATCTCTCCCTACTCCCTTTTCTGCTTAAGTTTTTGTGAAATTCTGGACAGACCATGAGTCTCTTTTCCCCAAAGGCTCATTCCGTATTTGCTTAGGGAGCAGCAGACAGAGCAGACAAGGGCGGGGGGGTAAGGGGCTACAGGTGTTTCGAGCCCATACTGGTCACAGTGAGCGAAACCCATAAAAACTCGATGAGTCTGACGCCGTGGGAGAAAACTAGTTTCAAGAGCGCGCATGCGCGTGTTTACAGCTGCTAGGGCCCGCCCGGTGTGCCTGGGTCAGCGGGGCAAGCTCGCCGCAGGCATCGTCCTGCCCGGGGACCTAACGAGCCCCACCCCCCGGGGCCCCCCACCCAAAGCACAGGTGCATATTCGCGGAGACTGCCACAACCCCCGATCGGGTCCTGAATCACGCGTGACTCACTTGTCAGCCGATTTCTCTGCAGAAAGCTCTTAGCAGTTAATTTCTGGCTAATTTATTATCCTTCAGCTTAGCCCTACAGCGCCATTAGCTAGGAGCCTGACACGACTGAGTGAAATATTGTCTAATTTATT